TTCAGAAGTTTTTATTTGATTCTATCAAAGCAAAAGCTTAACATTCTGAAAAATATGCTTTTGCTACTTTATTGCCAAAAGTTAGATGAGACAAATAAAACCACTCTCATGTCTGTCTATACAGTATACTCATAAATGTTCAGGAAATTCACAAGCTCCCCAGCAATATGTAAAGTACTTCACATTATAAGTGTATACGATAGTTAATATTAGCTCCACCTCTAAGAGCTGCAACATTAAATATAATGTATATAATAATGAATCAATAATTCTTTTCTGTAAGTACCATTTTTAATGCAGGACTGTTGCTTGTATTAGAGTGCTTTTACACTGTGGTACTGCTATTTTTACTTAAGTAAAGAGTCTAAGTACTCCTTCCACCACTGTGAAGCTGGAGCCAAGGGACAGTTAGCTTATCATAAACACTGCCTAATCTAAAACATAGGCTAGTACATAAAACCTTGTGTTATTTGTAGACTTAAGTTTTAATACAAATTCAACAAACTGAATATAATGTGTTAATTAATGACTGTGTTGATAGGTGGATTTTTGTTTACCTTTGAACAGAGCTAGGTTAGCCGTTTCCCCATTGCCAGTCTAAAGGTTAAGCTAAGCTAAGAAGCTGCAGGCTCCTAATTTATATTTAATATAAACACATCAGAGTGGTATAAGACTCTCTAACTGTCCACAAGAAGTCAAATAAGCATACTGTCCAACATTTTAAACTGTTCCTATAAAAGCTTGAGTCACACGACTAAAAGCAACCAGAAGAACAAACATGCACTGAAAAACTATCGTTTCTCTACACAACAGTGAAAAAAAATCCATAAAGTATACTGTTGGTCCAAAATATTGACATTCCTGTCTGCTCTTCTGACATAACAACAATAAAATTGTTAGATGAACTCATTACACCTGCCTGCTGTCAGTCCATACACAGAAGCACACACACACACAAAGCTACAACAGATTTGGTACAGAAACAACAGTTTGTGCTTGCTTCCATGCTTGTGTGTGTGTGTGTGTGTGTGTGTGTGTGTGTTCTCTGCAGGTTTCCAAACTAATCTGTCCTGACGTAACAACATGCTGCTTCTCAATCTGCCCACTGCTGGAGTCCTGGCACGCACACACACACAGAGACACACACAGGCAATGTTTACCAATGCTGTAACGGCTATAAATAAGTAAAATTGATTTGTGTGGAGGAGAAACTGAGTGTAACGGTAGGATAAATCTACTTTTACTGTACAACTGGACAATGCAAACTAACAGGCTACTAGTGTGAACTTAAAACTGCAGTTTTGGCTCATTATTGCATCTTAATGACTCTTTGGTCAGTCTACAGCAGGTTAGTCTAATCCCACACCTGGTTTTGATGGTTTTCAACTATCAGTTCAACATTAAGTGATTAGAGCAACAAGTTAGTCAAGATAACAGAAGGATAGTCCAGTCTCACAGCAGATTAATATAGTCTAAATGCAGATAATACAGTCAAACTGCTGGTACAGTCTAACATCAATGTAAAATAGTCAAACCACTTCATGCAGGTTACTGTGTTTGCACAGGTTAATAAGAGTGCAGTGAAACAACTAGTTAATACAGTTTAACAAGACGTTAAAAAGCCCATAGCATGCTTTTCCTTCTTTTTTCAATTATCTACAATGTTACAATGGTGGATTATCATCTTAGACGTGACATAGAGCACAAAAAATAGGGTGTACATGTGTTCTAGTATTTCTATGCAGAAGCAATTCAGTTTATACACATCTGGCAAACTCTTGTGCATGAGACTTTTTTTCTAACAAAATAAAGTATTGTGTGACATTTTGAGGATTTCCTTGAATGGTCATAAAATCCAGGGAGTTGCGTGTTCATGTAAGCTTGCCTGACATCCACCGGTGCCAATGTAAAAGCGGAATTTTTCGACTACACCTGGTTTTGTGGATATATTTTACATCCTCTTGCTGCACTGTGACCAGAGGATGTGGAGAAAAATACAGGGCCTGAGGTTACTGCATGTTTGGGAATGCTCCTGTACAGGGACTGGCCATTTTACCTGACCAGGTCTAACCTACGAGCAGCACATGAAGACCCCAGCGGTGGTAACTGATCAGCTCATCAACACTGGATTCCCCTGGAGCACAGTATCTGTTTGTTTTGACTGCTTGAGGCCAGTGTGTCTGTTGCATGTCAGGTGTTGCTGGTTAACTAGCGGATTAACAACCCATGATGTTATTGTCAGTGCTACGCTACCTGTTGGAATTAATTTCATTACTTTGGGACTGTATGTGGTCATGCGGGGGGAGACGTAGTGATCACCAGTTGGATTTATGTTAAACAGAATTGTTGTAAGGCTGGAGAAGTTACTATGTCTGCATTATGCCAGTTAAAATATGGGGTTTCTCAATTATCCGCTTTGTTTAGAGTTTTATACATCTCTTTTCATTGGTGTATGTAATAATACAGTCAAACTGCTGGTGCAGCCTAACATGTAACAATGTAAAATAGTCAAACCACTTCATGCAGGTTACTGTGTTTGCACAGGTTAATAAGAGTGCAGTGAAACAACTAGTTAATACAGTTTAACAAGACGTTAAAAAGCCCATAGCATGCTTTTCCTTCTTTTTTCAATTATCTACAATGTTACAATGGTGGATTATCATCTTAGACGTGACATAGAGCACAAAAAATAGGGTGTACATGTGTTCTAGTATTTCTATGCAGAAGCAATTCAGTTTATACACATCTGGCAAACTCTTGCGCATGAGACTTTTTTTTCTAACAAAATAAAGTATTATGTGACATTTTGAGGATTTCCTTGAATGGTCATAAATCCAGGGAGTTGCGTGTTCATGTAAGCTTGCCTGACATCCACCGGTGCCAATGTAAAAGCGGAATTTTTCGACTACACCTGGTTTTGTGGATATATTTTACATCCTCTTGCTGCACTGTGACCAGAGGATGTGGAGAAAAATACAGGGCCTGAGGTTACTGCATGTTTGGGAATGCTCCTGTACAGGGACTGGCCATTTTACCTGACCAGGTCTAACCTACGAGCAGCCCATGAAGACCCCAGCGGTGGTAACTGATCAGCTCATCAACACTGGATTCCCCTGGAGCACAGTATCTGTTTGTTTTGATTGCTTGAGGCCAGTGTGTCTGTTACATGTGAGGTGTTGCTGGTTAACTAGCGGATTAACAACCCATGATGTTATTGTCAGTGCTACGCTACCTGTTGGAATTAATTTCATTACTTTGGGACTGTATGTGGTCATGCGGGGGGAGACGTAGTGATCACCAGTTGGATTTATGTTAAACAGAATTGTTGTAAGGCTGGAGAAGTTACTATGTCTGCATTATGCCAGTTAAAATATGGGGTTTCTCAATTATCCGCTTTGTTTAGAGTTTTATACATCTCTTTTCATTGGTGTATGTATATATGTATAAAACGCTGTTCTGTGGAGGAGAAATTCATATTAATTAATGCCGTCGTGGTTTGCTGTGCTGTCCACTTGCGACACAACACCAGCAACAGGAACTGTGCATGTTCACAAACAATCCTATCAGTTTAAGGAAGAGGCTTTCTGGCTCTCTGAATCTAAAACAATTACAAACTATTTGGAATTATGAGGGGTGCCAAGGTAATCTAGAGGTACCCAAGATTAATCATTAAATGGCTGGAAATGAGCAAAATGAGCAGCCATGGGCACTTTAATATAATCTAACAACTAACACCTTCAACAGTCTCAGCATGTTTATATGGTCCAAGAGTCCAGGGGTTTTCAAACTGAGTGTGGGTCCCTCTTCTTACACATTTGAGACAATTGATTAAAACTGCTGCAACTGCGTTAAAGTAGGTTTATTGCCTTTATGTGAAAACAGTCTTACAGCCTGTCAATGCTGATTAGTATTGACATTTGGTTGGTTTGGTGCAGTAGTGGGTCAGTAATGACCAGTAACTAATTGTTATGGTTGAACAGCAGCACAATGCAGCCTTAACAAGACTTGACCGCTGCTCTGGTTCTTTCTTCTGATTGGATGAGGAGATCAGCATGCATGTGCTCCTGTCAGCTTCTGTATTAAACAGAAGACTTCTGCTTTAATTAAGTTGATTAGTGTAATTAAACTTACAGGGGCCTGAGACACATAGACTGAAGCTCCATGTCTGTGCCCAGGGGCTCATTGTGTCTATTGTGTCACAACTGTGATTACAAGTAAAAGCTCTGCTTAAAGATTGTACACAAAAGTACATAAATGTTATATTATTCAGGTGAATGACAGAGTGTTATATTATTATAATACTGGATTATTATCAAGTGGAGCTAATTTCTAGCACTTGATTCAGTGTTGGGTATAGTTTAATTATTGTCACCTCTCAGCTCTGGGTAATTCAGATGTTTTTCTGTTTTCCTACACTTTAAGAACCAAACAGTAAATGGATTGATCAAGAGCATAATCAGACTGATAAAGACAATTATTTCCAGCCTTATACAAAACCGTTAAAAATGAGCTCCATCTCAACCAACTACAAGCTTAAAGTTCTGCTTGCATGTTAATACATGAGTAGTGATATATAATAGTGTATCACTGGGACCGTTTCTGTGGCTTCAGTACATTTACTTTTGATGCGTTAAGTACATTTTTCATTCACTTTCACTCAAGTAAAGGATCAGAATACTCCTCAACCTCCGGTAAATTATCTGGGTACTTCACTGGGAGCTGGCCAGCATCATCTTTTCAGACACAAAATACAGAATATACGTCTTATAAAAACACAAACAGGTGGAAATTTTAGAAACTCGTACTGAAGTATTGTGACTTCAGTGCAAGAGATAGGGCAAAAGCCAACGGACAGAGAAACCGCCAGCGTCCGGTATTCGTCGTTTAAACAATTTGATGCTGCTCGTTCCGTTTCATAACCGTCAACTAACAAAGAAAAGACAACGAAAGACAAGGAAAAGGAGGAGAAACAAAAGAAGAGCGTGAGAAAGGTGACTTACCGGGGGAGAAGGAGGTGGTGATGGATGAAGAAAGTAGAGTCCTTTTGGATTAACGCGCCGAACTCCGCTCACACTGTCTGCAGACGCCGATCATTCATCCATAATCAATACCAATCGGGTCCAGCTGTCCTGTATGTGAGTCGGAGAGGGAGGGGTGGAGTGATTGATCAGTCATCGATCATCCAGCCATCAGTTGGAGCCTATCAGTCAGGACACTGATCAACTCTCCTGGAGCAGCAGAGCCGTGCGCTCTGCGCGGCGGGACTGCGCATGCGACACACACGCACGCATGCACGTGTACTTCTATCTTTATGAGGACACTCACTGAAATTATGCATTTCCTTGCCCCATACCCTACCCCTAACCTAAATCTAATTTTAACCTGAAGCCTAAAACCAAGTCTTGACCCTCAAAAATGTGTTTCAGGAAGCAAGGTCCGGTCAAAACGTCCTCACTTTCCAAAAATGTCCTCACACTATATAGCAAAAAAATTTTGGTCCTCACTATGTAGTAAGTACAAGAACAGACACACACAGAAATAGAGAGGCTTAAACTGGATCCAATAAAAATAAAAGAATGCAACTGGAAGGGTGTGTGAAGACAAAAATATCTGACACCAGCTTGTTACCGCTGTGCGTGTGTGCCTGAGGACAGCAGGTTCTGGTTGATTTGTTTCCAGAAAATTGGACAGAATCTATTTTAAAACTGTAAATACTGGATGTCACACACACACTGTTATCAGCAGTCCTCTTTTGTATTTACAGTCAACTCACCTGAGCCTGACGTCAGCAGGTGTCAAGTTAAAGCATCATTTTACAGTTTCCGCCAGCCAGAGCTGAAACTGTAGCAGGTAAAAGCTTCCCATTTCTGTTGTGATTGTTCTTGACAGATTCTGATGTTGTGATTTTAAATCTTATTTATACAGCTGAAAATCACAAATTTGCTTGAGTGTATATAAAAACATACAACACACTCTGTCATTAGACCTTCAAACTGGGGGAAACACATTCTCAGATGTAGAGAGAAATAAGTTGAAATTCTGCTCTGGGCCTCCAAAAACTACCAATAAAGGATAAAACATTATAAATAAATGAGAACACCACAGTTTGTGATCTAAGGCACAAGCAGAACAAATAACTGAAACAATCCATTGATATTTCTGTTGCCTTAGACAGATGTTTTTTTTCCTTGAATAGTTACTTGAATTTAAAATGCTTCTCTTTGGCCTTTATCCTCTGTTCCTTTGTTGCACTGGGTAACACATTCCTTATTTAACAAACACAAACACTAGAGTTTATTTTGACTTAGGCCCACATTCACCATCCTGCAGCCACAAATACTCACTAGAGACTAAATGTGGGTTAGGTCCCCAACTAATGCATTCTCTCCTGCTGTCTGAGGAACTCTGAGCTAAAAACTATAGTGTCCAGCAGTTTTAGGGAACTACTGAGCCTATTTTTAATGAAACTTTGTGAGGTGTTCTGACAGATCTTGAGTGGGAAACAACAGGTTTGGGAATGAGAGCCACCAACAGGAAGCCACAAAGTACTGAGAGGTGGGTTTGGTTGTTTTGACCATTTCCAGATCCAAACCAGTAAATGATGTACCAACAGATATTAGTTCCCAACAGAGGCATCGGTATTGCTATCAGATGATTAATGATAAGAAAGCTGAAGAA